AAGTTAAATTCTTTATCAGACATTCTTGCCAGAACAGAGTAATACAAGTCTCAAGTGAACATACTCAAGAATCTAATCCAAGCAATAATAATTTTTACAGTAATTCCATGAGAAATTCTTTCTCCCTACTAATGTACCTAAGGCACCAAATGATTCACTCAATTATACTATTCTAGTCTGAAAATTAGTCTAGTTTGTGTTTGCAACACAGAAAAAAAAACAAACATGCATTGAAACTTAACTGATTGAGGATGATGAATTAAGAAGAAAGGAAGATTATTACACTTTCGGAATAGCTGAATAATGTTTGGTCATGGAGAAGCCCAGCATTTTGTCCCTAAGCACCAAAAGAGAAGTTGTTGAAAAGCATACTTGTTTTTCTTCACGGGTGGCTAACCACAAGACTAAATTTCCTTAGTTACATGGAACTGTCCAGCTATTCATCCAGACCTCTGCAAAATTTAGTCTCCTAAAGTGAGACAGATGAACTACCAATCTAGTTCTATGTCTTACCAACCAACTGTGGGTATCTGTTCCTGGAAGAGAGTTTGTCCAAACAGTTTAGGACAAGTTGTCCAGTAGGCTCTGGAACTTGTCTAAAAGTGATCTTCACTACCAGTTAAGTTGGATGACTGCTACATACCAATAACAGCCAAGATGCTTATCTCTCAAAAATACATAGGAGGAATTACTAAATATAACTGAGCGAATTTCTTTGGAATAGTGATGAAAGCACAATTGAACTTCAACTTCCTAGAGAGAGAGGAAAACAAATCCACTGAACAGTTGCTTCCTTTAGAAAGAGGAACCACAACAATAATTTAAATGATTAATCAGAAGGCTTTATTAACCGGTTTTAATTTTTAAGCATGCAATATACCAGACCTTACATAAATTATCATGATTAATCTCAACCCTGTGACATGATTCTTATCTTCCTCGTTGCATAGACGAAGAAACGGGTTCTGAAATATTAAGTAAACGTCACTAAATCGCTCAGATCATTGGTGGCTAAGTCAAAATCCCTGCAAGACTGATTCCAAACTCCAGGTCTTTTCTTTATACTGAAGTAATTTCAACTTATTGGCCAATAACGATGATCGGCCAAGACACTGACTCAGCCACTTGGGAGTAAATGGACACTTCTGTTGAGGACAGTTTGCTCACCGTGCAGGTGCTGCTGGTGCTGCAGTTGATGGGTTACACCTGTGACGTTCTGGGATGACAGGAGCCCCATCATCCAGATCCACATGGAAAGTTATAACCCAGTCCCCAGGAGCAACAAATACCAGGCTGATGTTTGGGTACAAAAGCCCTGATCTCTTGCCTCAAGTCTGGGCACATGTGGACCAGGGTAGTAAAGGCAGTCCAGGGACACGTACTGCTGTGAGCTCAAGTGCATTTTTCCAAGGTGTACATAATACAGTAGAAGAAATGTATCAATTTAGGTGATGGAGTTCCTTAGGACCCTCATTTGTTGAGCTCATACATGACCACAAAAAAAAAAAATAGGTCTTTTTGTTCATTTGTTTGTTTTGTTTTTGAGACAGAGTCTCACTGTGGGTAGACTGGCATCATTGTAGCTCACAGCAACCTCAAACTCCTGGGATCAAGCGATCCTCTTGCCTCAGCCTCCTGAGTAGCTGGGACTACAGGCATGAGCCACCATGCCTGGCTAATTTTTTTCTCTATATATTTTTAGTTGTCCAGTTATTTTCTTTCTATTCTTAGTAGAGACAGGGTCTTGCTCTTACTCAGGCTTGTCTCAAACTCCTGACCTTAAGCGATCTGCCTGCCTCGGCCTCCCAGAGTGCTAGGATTACAGGCGTGAGCCACTGCACCCGGCCTGCTCTTGAACTCTTAACCTCAAGTGATCCTCCTGCCCCAGCCTCCCAGAGTGCTTGCTAGGATTGCAGGCATGAGCCACTGCACCCAGCCAAAAACAAAGGAGTTTTGATATGTGAATATTTATTACCATAAATATTGGTAAAATTGGTGAATAGAATTAAAAGCAGAAAAGCACCTTTTCCTCCCTCTTTTGTGAAAAATTATAGTTCTTTCTCCAGATTGGATTGTCTTGCCTTGTCTCTCTGTAATTCCGGTAGGTCAGTCTCTAGAGACAGCTTATATGCCTCTGGGCTTGGGAGACACCACATGAGTTTGCTGCCTGCACGGACTTGCTGACAACCTTCAGCAACCTCCTAAAAGAGAGGTAGATGGTGGGTGTGGTTGAGAGACCTCTCCAAACCACGAGGGAGGCTGCACCCTGACAATGGAGGCACAGTCAGCCCTCCACACCCGCAGATTCAACCAACCTCACATGGAAAATATTCAATCAATAAAAAATAGCAACATAAAAATAATACAGAGAAAAAACCAATATAACAACTATTTACACAGCATTTACACTGTATCAGGTATTATAAGTAATCTAGAGATGATTTAAAGTATATGCGAGGATCACATAGTTTATATGCAAATTCTACTGTCCTTTTATATAAGGGACTTGAGCATTGTGGATTTCGGTATGCAAGAGGATCCTCGAACAAAACCCCACCACCCTCCATACTGAAGGACAAATGTACCACAGAATTAGGACCAAGACCGACTGCGCACTGGTGGTTGGGCAGGTGAAACCAGAAATCGTTTTGTTCCCACAATAATCTTCCCCAGAGGGACATGGGTCTGTTCCAAGAAGGCTGCCCAGAGGCCTCCATGGGAATACGGGCTATTTCCACTGACCCTCCAGAAATAGAGCAACAGTCTATTACACAGTTTAGCAAATGTTAAGTTAGGAATCAGTACCGTATTTCCCTGAAAATAAGACCTACCCATAAAATAAGTCCCAGCAAGATTTCTGAGCATTTGTGCAATATCAGCTCTACCCCGAAAATAAGACCTAGTGACGGGCGTGGCTACGCAGCGCATCTGCACAACCCATGCATTTCGTCTCGGAGCGGTCAAGAAGACAAGCAGCCCTTCCCATCTGCCCCATGAGAGCTCTGTTGCTCGACATGAGAGATGGGGGCCAATGCTTCTAAAGGAAATAGAGCCGGCCGGGCGCGGTGGCTCAC